TGTCAAAACTATAATTTAAAACTAAGTGTCATTCCAAAAGATTCATTTTTAAAACGTCAACGACTTACTGATCTGTGTATTTTGTATTTTCTGTTTGTGTGTTTTTCAGTATCGGATTTTTATTTACGCAAAATTTTTATAAAAAATTCCTATCTCTTTACTGATCATTCCGGTACAAAGGTTTATATCATGAATTTTTTATCTATTTTTTTACACAGTGGCAAAATACACAAACAAATTAACAACCCTACTTATAATAAGAGCGGAGTAGGTACAAGCACTTGAACGAATAACATGTGTTTTGTATGTAAATGAATTATTTACACCTTTATACGCATTATGATTGGTCTAAAAAATATGTGATGTGAATGAAAATGAATGTACGAGTGCAAAATATTATTTTCTAGAACACTCAAGGTGAAGTAACCATTGCAGTTTGTGTAGGACATAAAGCGGACATAACATTATGCGTGATGGTATTTTTTTTCATAAAATGTTAATTTTTGTCACCAATTATAGGCTGTAGTGAAAATTTGACGTACTATTTCATCTCTTATTATTACTAATCACATATTTTATAGTGCAATCCCTACCAGAACATCACAATGGAATTACTATATAGGTACAAAAGTAAAGCATGATTTTTTCATGATATTTCTAATCCTCTACCTTATTTTAGGGAACCATTTTCAACGAAGAGTTCTTATTCTTATTCTTACGATATAGTTCTTTTATGCACTCCTGTTCTAGTTTAAGTCGCAGATTTAAACTTTATGAAATTGTTGGTTATGTGATATAGGTACCTACATAATTATGTGAATAGACCCATCATACATAATTGGATCATGGTAATATGTAAATTAATAACAGAATGTTTATAACTGATGTGCACAATAATTAAAAAATTACTTCTGTCTGTGCGAGATTAATTTTTTCTCTCATAAATAGAATATCACAATTTATGTATTTTTCTACACACCTACTTAAGTTGTTCAATTATTTTTGTGGTAATTCTCTTTTGATTAACTTTTCCCTTTCTACTTATAACAGTGCAATAATAAAAGAAATAGCTATTATAATTCTACATTACCTGCTACAACAATTCAGTTTTTTTATTTTCGAGAAAACTCGACATATTATTAACAAAGAAATTTAATCATAACCACTCTAAAGTAATTTGACTTCATTAACCTTTTTTCTACGAGCACCAACCTGCACTACGCAGTCTAAAAAAGCAATTTGCACCAAGGCTTGCTGACAAAGAACGAAATCCTTGAATTTTTAGGATAACACTGCGACGCATATATTAGAATACTAGAAGTTGAAGCTGCTGCCCTCTGTTAGTGGGAGGTAAAAGTAACTAAACGGTTGAACAACTCTTCCTATAAATAATTTGTGTTAAAATGGTTTCTATTATTGATGAGAGGGCATATCAATTGTACATCCACAGCTGGGGTCTCTAGCATCGGCCATCTATACTTTATTCTTAAAATTTAATGAAGAACTAGTTATTGGTTTACGATTTTGCCGGACTCATGTCACGAATACGAGGGCACTGATCATAGTGCAATAGACTGCTTAATAGTGGCGTATGTTTTATATATTTTTTAGTGTATGGTAAAATGTACTATTAATTTTAAATAAGTACATATAGAAGTTTGTATAAATCCACAGAACAATAACGGACGTCTTCAAAAGCAAATTATATCCATATTCCACATATTTGAAGAAAAGTTAAACACAAAACCCACATATAGACCAATTGAATCATCGAAATATCAAAGAAGACAAGGGAAAAAGGTGATTTCTTAGTTATTTGACAGAATTGGTAAAAAGTTTATTATTTTTGGAATAAATGATGGAAACATCTACTTAAAATAAAAGCTGTCACTTTGCACATAATGTCTATTGTATTGTAAAGGTAAACAAAACAACATTTTCAGAAAAACACACATCTAGGTGCTCACCTCACAGGTTTATGAAATATATATTTTATGTTTGTCTTTCTTTAGAGGCTTTCCGAACGTTTTCTTTTGTTATCTCCAATTTAGTGTTGATCGCCAATCTGATTTCCATAATTTCTTTTCTTCCTTCAAAATTGGATATTTGTGGCGAGATGCGACTTCACCAAAAGTATCTCTTGTAAATAAAACTCCTGGATTATCAACATATATTTACCAAACTCATTCAATCTAGTAAAATGATGGCCCTAAGTACCTTAAAGCAGACACTGACTCTTAACCTATTGAGATATATCATTTAGAAAAGGTAGAATGCCCCCATTGCATGTTGTTCTGATTGGTATTTAGGCGCTTGGTCCCTTTTAACATTTCAATAGTCCAATTGATAATATCAACATGAGTAAGGAGAATCATTCCAAGTGATTATTGAACAAAATTTACGAAATGGTGACACGTTAAGCACGCCAAAAGTTAACGTTAAGCATTCACTTTGAAAACGTATCACATCAACCCAAAAGGCAATGTTATATACAGGTACGGCCAACTGCAACGATGCAACTGGAGATCGAAATGCTCATAAATGGTATTCAAAGGGTAGCTTGTGTGACGCCTGCCACAGCTCTAATTGCCCCGCTGAACTTACCCCCACTTTATTCATCCTTCAAACTGTATGAAAGGCACATCCAACTTTAGGAATGCCAACTGACCATTTAATCACGAAGTACATATTTAAAAAATATATAATGTAATACCAGGAAGAGCGGACTGGGAAAGGGGTAGCTATTAAAGCCAACCCAGTATAATGAATGGATGGAACAAAGACATACTCAGGAGTTGGAGCCGCGCTAAACAAATGGTTTAAGTACCCCTAGCACGTTGTCTTCGTCCAGACAGAATTAGCAGCCAGTGCAATAGAGTTGGTAGTAATCAACAAACTGACATTTATTTGCAGAGTTAGGCAACACTAAATGCGATCAGCTCATACCAAATCAAATCAGGCTGATAAGGAACTGTTTGGATAATTTGGTAAGGCTACGATGTCATAGCGACGTGACCCTAGATTAAGAAAGGGGACATCAGAGACATTAAAGCAACGAACAGGCTGATGAGTTGTCTAGAACAGCTTTATCTATTGCCCTGGAAGAGTTTGAACCCTTCTGCAGCACTGTTGACTGCATTACTAAGGTATGTGCTTGTACAAAAAAAGATAAAATAAAAAAATGTGGCAAGAAACCCCTAGACACAAGTCATTTAAGTCGGAATTGTCAGCGAACCTACCAAACCTGTGTCGCAGACCAATAAGGATAACAGTAGGACTTTTAACTGGATATGGTACTCGAAATACATGTGAGTAATATTGGCCTGGTGAAAGACAACCAAATAGTGTCAGGAGGAAGACGAGATAGCAAAAAAGAAAGAAACCGAAAACTGAAGCTGTATGAAGGAGTCACTATCAAATATGTCCAATTAACAAGGTAAAGTTATACCAGAAAGATCATAAAGATCAAGATCACTAATTGGTCGCAGTAAAGAGAATGGTAGGTATATCTACTTTGTAATCTACAATCTGCTTTAGACACTAATAAATACTTAAGGAACATTTTAATTAGTTTTGATCTTGATTTAATTGATCTCCGTCGTAAAGGCAACTAATTCGGATACGAAATTTTCTTATTCAAATCTTGCAAGCTTGACCTTGTTATTTTGTCTTGATGTCAGTTTTCATCTTAATCTTTCATCGATATTTGTTACGTTTGTAGAGGCGAAGAAATAAAGATTTCCTAACAAACGCAAGAACAAGTAGAGACAAATGCCTGCCTTGATCTTTTATATATGTTATGGACCAGGTGATTAATGCGGGCATTATTAATAATGTGCGAGCATTATGAATAATGTCTAGCTCTATCGGGCTAAGTGATTAATTACTATCTAAACTTAATTATATATCACATTGCACGGTCATTATTATATTGCTACGTGACAATTGGGCAATTTGAAAAAAAAACCAAATTTTCATATGACTTTTATTAAGTTTAAAGTGCTGAAAACTATTATATGCTAATTATGCCAAAAAATGAGTCTGATTGCTTAAACTTTCGTTTATTTTATGTTTTATAATATGTCAAAACTTCTATAAAACAAAGATATGTTGTGAAATGTTTGTTTCAAATTTTATATATTTTGTGTTACCTATATTTTTAATATGACTTTCCTTAAGTTTTAAATGCAGAAACTAGTGGATTCTTAATGTAGAAGTCCTTGCTAATTAATCCAAATAATGAGTCTGATTATTTAAATTGTCTAACATTTAGTTTATTTTAAGTTAAATGACAATAATAATAAAAAAATAGTAATTAAATATGTTTGTATTACTCCGCCCAAAAGGTGATGGACAATATGTATAATGCCCGGTCAATTTAATTATTTGAATAATTATTATCAAATTGCACACTCATATTGGGCATTTTACATAATGACCGGGCATTATGTGTAATGCCCGATTCATCACTTGGTCCATAACATATACACCAGATATCCATAGAAATTCAGCGTGTAGAAATATCCGGTATTTATAGTTTCATGCGTCTAAAATGGAAAAGAGTAGTTTAAAAAGTAAGTTCTGAGGTAAATTTTCTATCAGATTTGAATATACAGGGTCGGAAAGTCCCCATGGTTCATCGGACATTACGTGAGAGCGATAAAGTAAGTCATAGAAATCCGTGCGATAGAGAAAGATGGCTATAATGAAGGCGTCTAATAGTCACCGCCCATTTCGCCCTTCCACAAATAAGAGGTGGATCTTATTTGTGGAAGGGCGAAATATGCGGTGACTATTAGACGCCTTCATTATAGCCATCTCTCCTATTTTTCCAATTCTTTCAATTTGTTTCAGTCGGAAAATTGTCTTAGTAAATTTTATCAAATTATCATCATAAGTAAGAAAATACTTTCTTTATCTCCCGTTCAAAACAAAATAGTGAGTTCCTTAAAATCATAGTGAATGAGACACTAATCATTTTTTAAATTTTAATAGTCATATGAACATTTTTACATGCATGAGATATACCAAAATATGTACTTTGAAATCTGTAAATTTGAAATGAAACAATAAAAAAAATACTGAAAACAAAATAAGAGAGAAATTTCTAACACTAATATGTACGACCTAAGTTATGGGATGAAACAAATATTATAAAACCATACCTTTGTAACGGAAAATGAGGTACCCACCTTACTTCGTAAACAAAAAATGCAAAACTGCTCGAGATAAACTAACGTTCATTGATATTTTCGTAAATTTTGAAAAAGACAAAGGTAGATTTTTGGAGAAAGTAGATAACTTACAAAGTAAGATTAATTAACAGAAGGAAACAAAATTATTGTACACAGTACATACTACATTTAATAATAACTGTATTATACTATTGTGTGTCATTGTGAATAACATAGTGTAACAAAATATTTCATAGATACCTGGTTCGGTGTAAAAATGAATCATTGCTATTATGACTGGGAAAAAATATACTCTGAATAAATAATTTCTTATATACAAAGGGCAAGTTTTCGCTATAAATTAACGAATTTACACAATTTATACAAATTTACATGATTTTCGAGTAGGTACCTAAAAGAAAATAATTATTTACAATCACTAAATATACAAAAATATGTTTTTACAAAAAATATGATCAATGATATACAATATTTATGATTTGAACCAACTTATTAATACTGATTTTCTTTAGTGCAAGCAGAAAAAACAAATTTCCACTGCTTTAAGCTTCAGAATTTCACACACTTAAATAATTGTCACAAGCACCATTTAGTTTTTATAATTACATACACTGATTTACATGTATAAATAGTAGCAATATGCGAAGTGGATGATGATCTTATTTGGTTTATATTTATTTGGGTACATTCTAATGTAAGTAAATTATGGATGTCGTCTACGCATTAAAACAAACAACCAGTTTATATTTTAAGACGTAATGAAAATTTGATGAACCAATACACACACAGTGATTTTGTAACTTTAGAACACATTTAATAAAAAGTCTCTTTGTTAATGACGTAGTCGTTGGTAGTTGTTTATTGAAAACATTATTTTTCCGGTTTCTCAACATTCATTTATGAATATTTTGATAAATTTGTAATTACATAATACCGGTTCATTTGTAGGTGTTTTTACTTCGCAACTATAATAGTAATATTCCTATGAAAATATGAAATAACCTACAATTGGATACTTTAAGAAAGCAGGGACAATTTATAAAAGAGAAACAGGAAAATGAAAATAAATTTCATTAAAATTTGGGTCTGGAAACCTATTTTCAAAAACATCGTCAGAATCAATATAATTGTTGTTATTTTAACAAATGATGTAGTGATTACAATTATTCAAAGTAATCAGAAATGAATTAACACTCATATGGCAATGATTTTTTAGTGTTGACATTTGTTTGAGAGTGCCAGTAAAGAATTACGTACTAACATACACAATGAGACATCGAAACAACTTCCAAAGACCTCTAAACATCAAATGGATCTATCCCTAAAACATTCAAATACGAACATAAACAACTATTTGGTTACGTAATTTTAGTGCAAGTCATGATTATAGTATTGCTTTTTCATAATCAGTCTAAATTCAAAATTCGGGTAATTCCATAATATACTTTAATTAAACAACTAACAATAAATACTAAATAAATTATCTCAACAATAGTAATGAGTATCTTTAGAAAAAATATTTAGTCAAACAATTTGTCAGTACTATACTACGCTCCAAAATGCAAAAGTTTAATGTTTCCACAAAATCGAAAGTTAAGAAACAAAAATCATCTTGACGCAAAACCTCCACGTTCTCTAAGACAATCCTCGTTTCTTCAATGTTTGAGTCTGCAGCAAACATAAATCAATACTTCTCACTTTTTTTGGAACACAGCATACAAGTATCCTAATAATAAATAAATATTAAAAACTTAACAAAGCTAACACTACTACTGAGCAGGAATACATTTAGGTACATTCAATTATGTGGGGCTGAGAGGACTCAATCACGCTCGGCCTTGTTTCCTTCCCAGGATGGAGAGAATTCTGGGACCTTTGATGGGTACCATTTTGAATCAAAGACGGAAGCGGCCTCGACAAACCTGGGTGTAACACGGGGTGACTGATCTGTGGCGGCTGACTATGAACGTCGAAAGTGTCCTTTGGATCTTCATGATTATCTTTCATTTCCACTGACCCTAGAGAGAGTAAATTCCTTATTACCGCAGTTATTCTACGTTTTACAACATTTATATGACAGTTTACATTTAATCCTCGCCGTTTTTGCTATATTTTTTTTAGTTTAGTTTTTCTTAGACTGTTTAGTGTGTTACGAGTAGTCTTTTAAAAAACTAATTGAAATGAAATGCGTTTCATGAGCTAATCTGTTAATAATAATCTGTTAGAGAAAACTTTTGTCAGTTCACGAAATGACCAAAATTAATGCTTATGCGCGACATGGTGTTTGAAATTATACAATCTACAACTTCATTTCATTAATCAAAGCCCTCGTTTTACATTTAAATTCTACACATTGCTATAAAGCTTCAAATAAATAAAAAATACTTGTGACATAACATTATCCTGGCTAAAATAAAGAGTCAGTACAATATGTGACAAAAGTAACAATAATGTGATGATAACTATGATGATAATGATGATGATGATGACGATGATGATGGTTATAAATTTATTTCGTCTAACCAGAAATATCTCACACTGACAATGAGAATCATTCTACTCGAGTACACAATAAACACCATAACATTATATAACATTTAACGTTTCGAAAACCTCTCTATTTTCGTTCGAGCTTGTAACAAAATTTTCAGCAAAATGTTGTCAAAAAATCGACCAAAAGATAATGTTCAAAAGTAACTCAAGAAATAACTTTCGAAAGCTTTCAAATCTTCTAATAGCACATTCATTAAATTTGTGTTATGTCATAACTATCAACTTCATAATATTATGGAGTTAATTAAACAAAAAAAAAGCAATTTCTCTTAAGTCACCGATGCATCCACATATTGCATATATCATTTACTTACCTAGACTTCCATCTGAACCTGCGTACTCATAGTAGCAGTTGGGAGAACCTTCGCCATTAAGATCCTCATCGATGTTATTGGGTCGACAACTTGTTGTCTTCCAGTGAGTCCTCAATCCAGAAGCGCTGATGTAATTCTTTCCACATTCCTGGCAAATGTACGGTCTCTCGTTAGTATGCAGTCTCTTGTGAAGTTTGAGATGAACAAATTGAGTAAATTTAGCGGGACAAAAGTCGCAGGCATAAGGCTTTTGTCCGCTGTGTAGTCGTAGATGCGTCTTGAGATTGGAGGTCGAAGAAAATCTTTTCTTGCAAATACCACATTCGTGCGGTCTCTCTCCAGTGTGCACCAAATGATGTTTTTGTAAGTGGGCCAATTGGGTAAAGGATTTGGTACAAACATTGCACTTGAATGGACGTTCGCCACTATGTGTTCTAAGATGTACCTTCAAATTAGATAGTTGTCCAAACGTTTTGCAACAAACATTGCATTCGTAGTGCATCTTGCCATCCTTCTTCTTCAATGGATACGGCAAGCTTCGATAACCCCTAGATGGACCACCATTAGGGCTCGTTGGATTACTTGAACCAATATTCATATCGTATTTCATGTCAGGGCTTTTGCAGTTAGGAGAAGCCCTGCCGTTTGACACTTGTAAAGGTGGCAATGGCGTCAAAAGATGATGTGTAAGGTTTGAGTTGATTATGTGACTGGTTGGCACGATCAAATTTGTACCATTGCTGTGATGGTTGTTAGTGAAATTTGTGTTTATTGGGGGAGAATATGTATGCGTTGGAGAGGATGATATAGTACTATGTACTATACCATTTGGAGACGGATAAATATTGTAGTAGTTTGTTGTTTGAATATTACCCTGATAGTTCTCCGTTGTATGAGGTACGTAGAGATTAGCAGAATGTACTGGACTTGAAGGATGATTCTTCAAGGTAACCGGGCTAGGGGGCAACATGTTTTGCGCTTGAACGTTAGAGCTGGAATCAGGACTACATGGAACCGTTCCATACCTGTGACTCTTTTTGTACGAGTACGCCATCTCTGTAGGCGAGCTAGGAGGGGGAGTGGCATTTGGCTGCCTTTGGTTGTTGTCGTTATTGTTTGTGTCAATTCTATTCCGTAATAAAATATTTTCTAGTATACTTGAGGAAGGAGGAGTGTATCGGGAAATCACATTTGTAGCCTTAACTTCAGGTTCGTAGAAAGGTTTGTTATTAGGAACTTCATGAGGTGGGGAATCCATCACAATCACCGTCGCAGGAGGAGTGATAATTCTAGGGGTTAGTGTGGTTACTTCAGGTACTGCAGTTTCTATAAGAGCAACTTCCTTTTCAGCCTCGTGATCGCTGTCACTTTTCATTGTTTTGTAATGATACGCCTTTGATATCTTAATTTTAACTTTTCTGTACTCATTTTTCTGGGTTTCAGGTGACACTGGTTTTATTACAGCGGTTTCTTTCGAATTTGGCTTCTTACTAAAGTCCAACACGTAATTGTTTTCGCTGTCTGAATCGCTCGAGTCTTCAGGAGGAGTAAAAACGTCGTCATGATAGCCATTGCTGTGGTATCCTTCGTCTGATCTTACACTTCCCTCTGTGGGAGTCATCTGGTGTTCATAGGGAGCTTCTTTCGATTGAGGTTCAGTCGTGCTCACAGTAATTACTTCTGAAGTCTGCTGCACTTGCTGTCCTGAAAGAAAATTACCAAGGAGTATTAGCACATTTTTTTCTCTTATTACCTTTGAGATGTAAAATATGAAATATGATTATTTTGATCTAGTAAGTAACGTAAATTTCCACATTAATAATTCGTAATTTCCAAATGTATGCAATGTAATTTTGGAGATATTTTACTTACTTATCCTTTGAAGCATTTGCTCTCCAGTTAAGGGATAGTTGAGCCTTTCCGCAAATTCCCTGCAGTACCAAACGAGTAGTTCTTGATTCGGAAGAATGGGCTTGATAGTGTAAAAATAAATATTCATTTTATACTGACAGGCTATTAGATTCTGCGACTCGCTGGAGTATGCCGGATTGACGTATCTCATCCAGTTAGCTTTGGAAGTATCAAATCCGTCAATGTAGTAGTAGAGTTCATTATCCTTATATATCTAGGATTAAAAATAATGGCGAAATTGATATGTTGTAGGAAAATAGAGTACTGATGTTAAAAAGGGTCAGTTCAACATTATTAATTTAATCACTATAAATCTCGGAAATGATATGAGATACAAAGTTAGTTAAATTGCCTAAAACACTGCCTAGCGATAGGTTCTCTTGAATTTTCACAGAACACAAACTATATGGAATTTTTTTAAACCTTTTTTTCAGTTTAAATAAATCTATGTAGCTTCTAGCAACTTAAAAATCAGACTTCTCGATTCTATTTAACAGTTATAGCTGTTTCATTTAGTAACAAAAGTAAGCAAAGGGTTTTGCCCTTAATTATATAACTCTTGTAATATCTTACCAGTGTCAACCACACGAAATATTTTTTTTTGTTCGAATGAAGTGAAATATTTCAAAGTACCTACCTACAAAATGACCAACTTTGTAACTTTTACTCTTTTTGAGATTCCCGTTTGAGCATTCTTAAGTGTATCAAGTCAAAATGAAATGTTAATATTAAAAGTGTAATTTTGAAAATTTTATAATATAATTTTTAAGTTATCTTGTTTTAAAATATCCAATTCATATATCTGAATTCAGAACCTTTTTAATTCTGAACAATGCAAATAATGCCACTTAAAAATAATCACCTTATTATCCAGGCAGCTATTTCTATAAAATCCTTCCCTAAGTTGTACCTGCACCAGTGAAAAAAATAGATTTGTAAGAAAAACCACGTTATTTAAGAAAAAATAAGTGTAAAAGCAGCGTTTCTCTTATAGATTATTAATGTATTAATAATTTTCATGCATTATTAGAATCTAATACATAACACCATTGAATTGTTTAGGTAAAAGGGAATAGTAGATGCAAAATATCATGTGCTTCATTGAAAATATAGAGATATTAAAGGAACGAAAAGATATTTATTTGATAAAAACCTAATCAACATAATACATATTTTAAACATATAGTTTATGTTTGATAACATAGACAGTAGAAGAAAATTATAAACATTAAGATTATCATTTTGTCAAGTAGAAACTAAATGTTCAGTCAATTTCCTAATTTATTTGAAAATATTAAACCAATTTTCGTAATTTCTTAGTTTCAGAAGATTTTAGTAGTAATATTTCAATGAAGCTTCTACAAAGCATAGGTGAATCGAAAGTAATTTATGATTTAGGTGACAAATATTAAAAAATAATATACCCTCCAAAAATATTTCCTGTTCGCAGAACTTGGTACAGCATCTTTGGCATATATTTCCCCCACGAGAGGCCCAAATCTAGTCCCTCGTGGGATATATCCTGTACTCCAAACACCTTGAGCCTGCAAAACGAAGACGATAAATATGTATAAAGGTACTTAGTAGTGAGTGTGTAAAAACAATGATAAATACATTGCAGGTACATACGTCTGAGAGAGCTTGGGAAGACTTCAACACCAAGTTCCTGGGCAAGGTAGCTTCTGCTCTGTTTGGCGTTCCAGGCTCAACGGGAAGGTCTGGAACGATGTAGGTGGTGTGCAGTTCGAATTCTTCCTCGCGGATGTTCGCTAGGTCGAACTCGCTTGCAGAAGTTACCGTGGTTTCTTCCATGATGTCCTGAAAAAGAGATTTTCATTTTAAAAAGCAATGAAACTACGAATTGATCCGCACGTAAATGTATTTAACCATTGCATCTTTAATTTTTTTCGTATGACATACCATTCACCATTACAGATTCAAATATATGAGAAACTAGGAGTGTTTTTAACAGCAAAGCATAGGTCAAAATCAGAATAATTTAAAGTTTTGCACAAATTTGCATTTATTAAAAAAAAGACACCAAACTGTATATGCAACATTTCTATAATTATGTTCCTCTATTTATTGATAAATTAGATCATAATAATTGATATCTTCGCTGCTGTTTAACTTTGCCACGTTTTTTAACTTTTTTGCTTTTAAATAGTCCATTCTGCGAAAAAATCTCAAGAGGCAATACAAATTTTAAGATTACCCATCCAAACCTGTAAAAGAGAATCGCATTAATGTGATTCTGATCACTTCTAATTCCGACACCACTGATTAATATTTCTTCGTATTATATACAGGTACTATAAGGGAACTTCCCCTATACCAAACTTGATAGTCTAATTAAATAAGCCTTTAAATCAAAATTTTGGCCAACTTGCCTGAATTTTTGATATGAGTTAGTTTGAGGAATGTAATAACAATAAGTGACAGTAATTTTTTGTTCAACCCCCAGCCAAGGGTGAAAAAAGATAAAACAAAGGGGTTTTTCAAGATAACTCAAAACGGGTAAGGGCTATAAAAAAAGTTGTAAAGCACACAATTCTACATAAAAATGGCCCCTTGAATTTAGAAAAATCGTAAGCAGAAAAATGAATGAATTTTGTAATTTTTTTCGATCTACTCTAAAAAATGTAACCTTTCTTTTCAAAGAAATAGATATATTTTTTAATTTTTAATAAGAAAGTTATAACAATTAAATTTGTTGTTCACCCCCCTAAACAGAGATTTTAACGAAAACCTAAATATGATTTTTTTTTTAAATAAAAAATATAGTTTTTCTGAAATAAAAAATAAGGGTCGCAACCCCCAAACACGGAATCACTATTTGTTTTATATCATAAGTAATTTCCATTTTGTTTCATTTCAAAGTATTGATTAGAACCGCAGAAATTTTGAAAAAACCGTTTTGGGGGGCGAACCTTGAGGGTGTATTTCACCTCGTAAATATGTTTTTCCGCCGATAAAAAAAAATACGTGTCTCTTTACATTTTTTAGAGTAGATTGAAAAAAAAAATTACAAAATTCATTCGTTTTTCTGCTTGTTATGATTTTTTTAAATTTCTGAAATCTTCCCTTAATTTCTAGCCTCCCTAACTCTGTTAATTTTAATAGTACAAGAAAAAGTCAAGATGCTATTTTTAGGTGGAATTGTATGCTTTACAACTTTTATAAGAAACTTTTTTTTCTAGCCCTTGCCCCTTTTGAGTTATCTCGAAAAACTCCTTTCCAAAAGTATTAAGCTAATTATACAACTTCGACTCTTTTCAATTCGATAGTGTTTCCTCACGTAATTTTTCGCCCTGAATCCGAATCTGGTCATAAAAATGCTCCCTCGGGTCAGGATTTTTAGATACTCAGACCTAAAAATGCAAAATGTAAATTTGACATGTTTTCGAGATCACACCTACACTTTTTTCACTCAATGCCGTATACATTAGCTTAAAGTACGTATGTTAGCCTTTAATTTTCTTTTCGGTTTGTTTCAATAAATCCTTTTTTTCTAAAATATCACCCATATCAAGCCGATTCCAGTATCTAATCAATTACGTCCAGTTGATGCTAAAATACATGCAATATTTTTTAACTGGTGCATTTATTTTAAAATAAACGAAAATCCTAGCTACCCGCGATAATCAACCACTCCGAACCGTGGGGGTTAAAGAACTCACCCCCAATCATGAGAAGTATATAGACTTTTAATTAATATGATTGAGAGAAGCTTAGAATGAATGCAACAGTTAACTGAAGGTAACTGATTACAAACTGAAACCAACTAAACTTTAATTGGTAATATCTTCGCGAATAAACGTCGTTTCCGATCCAGAACAGAAAGAAGACGAGAAATACTGTACGATAATATCAAAAACATGTCAATATGGCTTATTTGCACTTTTATATTTGATTATCTCAAAATTCTAACGTCATAATCTTATCAGAAAATAACCCCTTTGAACCTTTCGATATGTAGTCCTATATTATTAATTTATACAAAAAAAATTACTCAATTATATTATTTTTAATTTTGTTTAAATATTTTACGCCACAACCATTTTTATAAAAACGAAAAAAGATGCAGGAACGTGGTAATGGAAAATTTCCTTCGCGTTTTTCCTTTCGAGCTAGTCCAAATTTAATTCACTATTATAATGAAAGTAATAAAGCTTTGCAAAATTGTATTATTACTGATGTTAATAGAACTCACCATAACTATGATACTTATGAACATAATTAATTATTATTTGATAGTCTTTTTGCAACTTGAATGAAACCACATATTTTATTAACACTCCGTATATTGAAAACAAAGCGTCTTGGAAGATATGTTTATAGGAGCTTTTTTTATTAATTTGTATCGTAGTCTTCCACCATTAGAGTTTGACCAAGCATTTTAATTACCCTGTATATGATTTAATATTTGATAGTATTCAGATATTTATTTCGTTTTTAAAGGAGGCCACTCTAAAAGCAATCATTAAAATGGAGAATTATAAATAATTTATCGCTACTTTCCGTGTTGGCCTTTATCTAAAGTGATGCTGTGGTAATGTCATAAAAAAATTGGAGACAATTTCTAAGAAATTTGCAACACTATTTAATAATTTCTACATGTCATATTTTTCATTGAGAAAATTTAGTTATGCTTTTAATACTACTATAGGTTTGATAACAGAGACTGCATAATTATTAACAATAAAATCTTTGAAAACTTAATAAAGACAAATGTTTATGCTTCTTTCGTGATATTGTGTGGTGGATAAATTTTGTATCCAAATTCACAACCTTCACACAAAACAGTAACATCGTGTACATGGATTTTTATTCATTTTTCCTTACATCTGTTAAATCAGTCCCCCATTCCGTGTCGGGTTTATTGAACGGCTCTTTCTAGAAAGCAACAGTAATACAGTAACCTATTGTCCCCACAATCAATGAATATGTAACTGAAAGTGCAACTGGCTTCTACCTTGCTTTACAGAAAAGCAAGTGTTCAACGTGTAATCAATAAGTTAAAAATAACCACATTTTCCAACATCCACTCTCCCGTAATGACCTTAAACAATATAGAACCGAGGTGGTCTCGCGTTTTTTACATTTTTGTGTTCGAATAATGAAGCATCCGATACTGTTTTCAATCGCTCATAATTGCACATTACTAGAATTTGGTATATAATCAGCAGCGATAACCGCAACTGCATTGTATGATATGGCTGAGCATGATGTTTTAGTATGATCTGCAAATGTTAAGTGAAAGGATAATATGGGTCAGTGTGTACAGTGAATATCGACCAGAGCGTGGCGTCGGGACGCCGTTGCGATGAACGGCGACGTCATTAACCGGTTCTGACGTCATCGTTGCAACGAAAAGATCGCTGCATTTAGACCAATCAGGTTGCGTTCCATTCAACCAGCAAATGGAGAGTTCAAATTAACGCAATTTATTATTTTAACTTTCTTTGAGGAGACAAATAATACAAATTTCTTTGAAAATTCTTCCATTCAGTTTTTATAACATTTGAAATTGGATTGACGGAGTTTGTTCTGATCTTTTGCTACTTGTAAAAATAATGTAATGCATCCTTTAAAAAAGAATTTTGGGGAAAACTCATATTTGATAAACTACATTGGTTTAATATTTAAAAACCAAAAATAATGCTTGTACCTACGTATATAAAAAAATAGATATTAATACCTAAGTACATATTTTAACTGAAAAATCAGTAAAAATACTCTAAAGAATAACGTTTTCGATTTATTATTGTGTAGTTATTTACTACGCCCCTGTTTCATCAGACAAGATATAACTAAAATTATTGGTCAATCTTTAATGGCGGAATTTGCGTCACAAATTAATTAAAAAATTGTTCTTTAAATATACAGGGTGTAAATAAACAAGTGCTTAAAGAGTGTGCCAAGAAAGTAGTTTTTAATTTTTTTCTGAAATACCAAAAGAGTGACAGAAATAAAATTAAGTAGACGTTTTCTGATGCTATCGAGAAGGCATTTGGTAAACAATTTGTTGATTTTCCCCAATGGTTGTAAAGGGTGAAAAAAGATACCCCCTAAGACTTGTTTCATACGTAACTTTTTTCTTATTACTACCTTACCATTTAAAAATTAATTTCAGATTTTTGTAAAATTTACGATTTCTGAGCAAATAATTTATTTAAACTCAATTACATGGCATGATTGACATAGGGTAGAAATTTTATCGAACTGTAATTTATCTAGTATAAAGTATAGTAATAAAAAGTTATGTATGAAACAAGTCTTAGGAGTGGATTTTTCTACCCCTCACAACTGCAGGGGAAAATCAACAAATTGTTATAGAGTGCCTCATAGATAGCAGAAAACGTCACTTTTTTGGTATTTCAGAAAAAAATAAAAACTTCATTTTGGCACCCTCTTTAAGCGGTCGTATCTTCACAGGCGAAGTTCGAATGAGATTTTTTTATATGAAATTTGAATATGATACATGAATTTTTTCGCACTTATTTATTTACACCTTGTATACAAGGAGAAAACCTGTTGAAAATTAATGAAAAAAATATTGTTTATTATTAAATTGTAAAAATCATAAATAATATTTAATAAAGAAAAAAGGGATAACATTTTTCTCGACAAATGTCAACATGTTGCTATGTGGAACAACGAAAGAAGTAGTTAATAATTTGCTGTATTACAAATAGTTCATTTTGAATTAAATTGAACATGAAATTATATATGATTAGAAATAATTTTAATTTCCAGCTCGAGATGAAATACTTTTTTTCGTTGTTCCAATTGCCGCCAATGAGGCTCGTGGTCAA